TGTGTGTGTGTGTGTTCATGTGTGTGTGTGTGTGTTAAATGGTTGACTGTGTGAAGTGTCTCTAAGTGCTGAGCTGCTCACTAACGTGTGAATGTGATGTTTAATTGATTTGTAATTAATGCAACATGAATCTTCTCTGTGTCGTTATAACGACGTTCAGCTTCTGCTTCAGCTCAAACTCTCACAGTTTGTTAAGTTTGTGTTATGAGCTTTAATTTGTTTTTTACGACGGAGGATTTGGAGATCTCAGATAATATCCTCGTTATTTTGGATTCTAATCTCAGAGGTTTCTCTCTGATCATCACCTGTAAACATTGTTCCTTAGTTTTTAACCAATAACTTTAATCTGCCTCATTATTTCTGTAGCTTAAGTGAATGTTTGAATGTTTGGAAACTGAAGCTGTTCATCTCACCTGCTTTTTTCCGTCGCTGAGTAAATGTCAGTGGGTATTAGTCACTTTCAGGTTCGGAGATTTCTGGCATTTAAACCTTGTTATTCAACTGTTTAACCTTTTTGATGTTTGGTTTAAATAAATGCTAACATTTAAATTCAGTGGGAGCGTTGAAGTTTTTCCAGCTTTTGAAGAGCAAGAGAAGAAGTTTTAGGTTTAATTAAAAACAGAAAATGAACAAGAGAGAACTAGAAGTTGGTTTCAGTGAATACGTCTTAAAGTTTCTTCTTTCCCTTGAATTCCATTCTACGCAGTTTATTGTAAATCAATGTTTTCACTTGTGCAGCTATTTTAACAGTGAAGCTGTTTGCAACATAAAAAATTAACTTCAATTATTCAATAGGAAACTTTCAGGCTTCTCACCTTGGCTTTGTTTGCCGCCACGTAGCCGTGCAGTTTCTCCGCCTTGTAGTACGGCGAGCCACGAGCAGCGAACCAGACGTTCAGCTCCTTCTCGCCCCGTCGCCCGGCGTCGCCAACAGAGAAGATCTGGACGTTTTCCGGCAAAGTCTGCAGGAGTTCAGCCAACGCTCGACCCAGACGGGAGAAACGGCTCTCCTCACCTCCACCGCTGAAGAACTGCTCCACCGTCAGGTCTGCAGGAGGAAGAGGAGGGTGAACGGAGTCATCACTGACTTCATACACCTTCAGGAGGAAACAACTGGATTCATCTCCACCAGGACTAGGGCAGGGACTTATTTCCCATCATGCTTTGCTTGTTGTCTGTTGTGATGATGAAGCCTGGGGGTGGAGAGGGTGACAGCCCTGAAACCAGGACCGCACAGCATTCTGGGACATACAACATTGCGCCCCCGTCAGTTACAGTTACCATGGAAACCAGTGGGGAAAGTATTTATCGTGTGTTTGGCGTGAGCATTTCAAAAGAGACGGTTACATCATCGAGATGAAAGAACAGCATGACATCATCATCACCATCATCACCCATGAACTCACTGGACAGGCGTATGGAGGCGGAGTTCTGCAGGGCGTCCTGCTGCAGCTCTACTACGTCCACCCGAGCCGTGGAGGTCACGTCGGGCCAGGTGCGATCGGACACGCGCACCTGCAGGCGGTACGACCCGGGAGGCGTCCCCTCCCTGACACTGAGCTGACCCGAGCTGTGGTTCAGACTGAACAACCTGAGAGGACGGAGACGACAGGAAGTTAGAAACTGCAACAGGATCTGAAAAATGTAAATGAACCACATGTGCCGGCGAAGCAGCTTCTCTGATTCAGAATATTGAGGCGACACAGAAATGGAACAAGGCCAAAGGGTTTTAAATCTTTAAAGATGGATTCCTCAGATCGAGCTCGGACGTCTGTGTTTGAACATGAACATGGTGCGGTGTCTTGATCCAGGAAACACTGGTGCTCCCGGGTCACATGGCCCCGGTCCAGGCTCGTGTCACTGTTGAACCTCCCACCGCCGAGGCGACCTTCAGCTCTCAGACGAATAATTGATCGTGACTGAGTCGAGGCCAAAATGAGACCAAGATCGAACCCACACCCCCGCTGCTGCCACCGCCGCCGCCGCTGCCACCGCCACCACCGCTGCCGCTGCTGCTGCAGGGGAAACGGCTTCGACCTTCTCCTGGATTCACGTCACGCTTTTAACGTTTCAAACCCTGCGACGCAGCGCTTCACTGACAGGAAGAGATTTACGGCGCGGCTCAATTCCAGCCAATGACACAGGAGCTTCTTCTTTTATGTCAGTTGATTTCCTGTGAGGTCACATGTCGTCGTCGTATTCGTCTCACCTCATCACTTTGTTTTCTTTCTTTATTTTCCATCGAGTTTTTCTCCGATCGTCTTTACGTACACAAACTTCAGCCTGCACCTGATCCGCACTGTGAACAAATTGCTACCTGTCGGCTGGTGTGAGGACGGGCGGCGGTTCAGGAGCATCTGTGGTGATTCTCTCTCGAGTGGTTTCTTTGTTCTCGGCCGTTTCTTGTCGTCTCTCGTCGTCTCTCCTTATAGGAACCTCGTTAGAAGAGGAGGTGGCAGGGAGCGCAATCAGGCTCTCCTTTCAACGTGTCCGCATGGAGCCTCGCCTCATCAAACAAAACGAGCGCGCCCTCGCCGCGCTTCACTGGGAATTTTCAATACCGCTGGTTATGAAGTATTAATAGCACTGTTCCTGACAAGTCAGATCCCCCTTCTCTCTCTCTCCTCCCCGTCCTCTGCACTTTCATTCTCTTTCACTCTTTCTTTGTTTCTCCCTTCAAACTGCCTCTTCTCCTCTTTGTCGCTCCGCACCTTTGTACTGTCTCTCCCTCTCTAGTTTAAATCTGTCTGCTGCTCTTTTATTGTCTTCATGTGTCTCTGGCTGCGGATTCTATTTACGTCCAAATACGATGAAGTTAGAATTTGGAATTTAGGTTTTTGCCGCTCACGACTCTGAAGATTGGACGAGTTCTCTGCGACAACATATTTTAAAACAAAGGGAATTTATGAAATATGCTGAGTTTGACATTTCGTTCGCTGTCATGCAAAAAAGTGCGTGTGCAAGTTTAAGCACTTTAATTAGAAAATTAGATGCATATATTTTCTTGTTTTCTGAAATATGAATGATTATATTCACATTGTATATTTATATATAACACTCGTTCGCGTTTCTTCCTTTTCCTTTCTGCTGTGTCCTCGTCTCCTCCGAACTCTGGCTACCACTCTTTCCTCTTTACTTTCACTTCCATCGCTCTCCTTTTTTTCCACGTCACCTTTCAGCCCACTCATATGTCAAAGCACCTGGTTGGTTTGCCCTCGAAGCGGTACACCTTCTCACTCCAGTCATCAAGGTCGGGGGATTGAACCTGTCCGAGCACCGTCGTCGGGAGGATACCTGTCAGGAGGCAGGAAATAAAAGATTGAAGACGGGAATTACTTTTTGAATATAAATGATCCCTGAGGTACGACTCAAAATATTCATAGTGAAGGAGGGAGTGCGGAGGCTTCTTTAAGGAGATAAGGTGGCGGGCGACGCCACACGGTCATGGTTTGACAGCACAGTGGGGAGACATGCACACATTCCAATTGCTCTCACAGTGCCCCCCCCCTTCATTTCCAAAAAGAGCCGAACACACGGCTGTAATCTCTTTAGCCGTGAAATCAGTTACCTTTTAAAAACGGCTCCTGTTTACGTGCTCGTCAAACCCAGGAGTTAATTGTTTGCTCTGTGGCGTGTTGCTGAGCTACAGGATGGATTCATATTAGCGGGTTAATGTACTTTCATGTCGAAAGGCCCCAGAGAGAGAAAATCCACTAAAAATACATTCCAGAAAACCATAGTTTTTCCAGCAAATTACAGCGAGCTGACAGATGGTACGAAATACTAAATAAGTGATGTGGGCTGGAGCGGGAGGCTGAGAGCAGTCGACTGTGACAAGAACAGTCTTAACAACACCAGCACAGAGCACTCAGAGGTGGTGGGGGGGGCACCAGGGGACCCGGAGGTCAGAGAGGACCGTCTGTGAGCGGAGAGTCGCCGGTTTGAAACCCTCAGAGCAGCCGGGGAACTCTGAACCCGACGAGTTCTCTACAATCACAGTTTTCACGACGTCGACACGTTGTCCAAGTGTTAATTATTAGACCATGACAGTATGTTGAACTATTTATATATCAAGTCAAAGACCAATGCTTTGTATACAGTCAGTTACTGGATCCCTGACACAACACAACACAACACAACATACCCTCAACACTGTACACGATGAAGTGGGTGTGTCCTGGAGAGTGGGGGTGGTCGTTTCTGTCCCCAATAACAATCGTCAATGTGCTGGTGGAGCTCATTGGAGGAGAGCCGCTGTCAATCATGAGAATCGGGAGGCGGTACTCTTTCTGCCGCTCACGGTCAAACGTCCGGAGAGCTGTGATGGCAGCGCTGCCGTTCCGGAAATCTGTCAGGTTGAAGTTTGTGGCATCTGAGGTGAGCATGAGCAGTCGTATGGAGAACGGTCCGCCGTTGGTGGAGGTGTCGCGATCGGTGGTGTGGAGGAGGAGCGAGGTTTTGTTCATTCGTACTGACTGAGGCGCCGCCGTGTTCTCCCAAACGACAGGTTCATAGGGGACCTCGAACTCCGGCCCATTGTCGTTGACATCAAGTACCGTCACTATCACAATGGCGGTTCCGGTCAAGGATGGACTCCCAGCATCTGTAGCGAGGACCATGATCCTGTGCTGGGAGATTTTCTCCCTGTCCAGTGAATCAGCCACTACCACCCAACCGGACTGGTCCACCAGGAACTGACCGTAAGGGTCGGACTCTTTGGAAATACTGTAAGAAAAACGTCCATTTTGGCTTGAGTCAAGATCAGAAGCTGACACCTGAGTAACGATAGTCCCCACGGACACGTCTTCGGACATCGCTGGCGACTCATAGAATTGTGGGAAGAAGACAGGGGCATTGTCATTCGAGTCTTCCACCTGAACGAGGCAGTAGGCCAGACTGAAGAAATCAGCATCCTCAGCCTTCAGGGTCAGATTGAAAGTCCTCTCATGGGGCTTCTCAAAGTCCAGCTTCTTCTTCAGCCTGATCACACCACGTCTGTTAAGTTTGTCAGTTTCCACAAAGAACTTCCTGTCCTCGTCACCTGCCACGATGCTGAAGGTTACCACAGCATTCTCGCCCTCATCTCCATCTGTGGCAGAAACCACGAAAACCTCGCTGTTCACCTCCAGGTCTTCTGTCACCTGAAAGACACACATGATGTAGATGGTTATGATTATCACTACTGAAGACAGGTGAGGCTTGTTTTAGACAGACTGACCCACCTGAGTGGTGTAGATCCTCTGAGTGAAGACGGGTGGGTGATCGTTGACATCTGAAACCGTGATGGTGGCTGTCCCCGTCCCCGCTAATCCCCCTCCATCCCTGGCCTCCACCACCACCAGATACCTGTCCTCCGCCTCCCTGTTCAGGGAACGTAGAACGGTGTAGATGGTCCCTGTGGTGCCGTTGATGGAGAACAGGTTGAGGTTGATCTCATTGCGGACGTTCTTGATGATGCTGTAGGTCAGCATGGCGTTCTTGCCCTCATTGGGGTCGTCGAGGTCCATGGCGCGCATCTCCATGACGGAGGTGTCTGCGGGCGAATTTTCAGGAACTTGGCCAACAAAACAACCGTCTACTTCCAGTGCTGGACACGGGAAGAAGGGTGCATTGTCGTTGACATCTTTGACTTCTAACAAAACATCGGCAAATCCTGTGAGTCCCGCCCCTCCCTCATCTGTGGCGAGGACCAGGAATCTCCAGGCTGGACGCTCCTCCCGGTCCAGGCGCCGTTGGGCGTAAATTCTTCCAGTGCGTTCATCGATGGTGAATTCACCACCAGCGCCCTGGCCATGGAGAGAGTAGCGAACGGCAGTTTGGTCGGCTTCCTGGTCCGGATCTGTGGCTGAAACCTGCAAACGGAAAAAACAAAACGATTTCCTCAAGTGATCTGGAAAAGATCGGAAAACTCTTCTTAATCAAACCTTAAAATAAAAAGCGTTTGGTTTGTTCTGTCGTTCTGGAACATGAGACAAATAACAAGGAATTTAAGTTGAGATTTATGACCAGGTTTAGAATAAAGTTTAAAACTGCTGGTTTCTAAGGGAGTCGCGATCTAATCTGCGTCTACAAGCAGCTTTAAAACACAAATACTGTCTCCTTCTAAAGTACACATCTTTATCACTCCGCTGATGCAGCATGTTTCATTTAAAGAAATAACGTCTCTACCCTTCTACTGTTTTTAAAAAGCTGAACAAAGATAAAAACTGGTGGTTGAAGACAAAATAAAGAAAACTCAAAGCATCAACAGGAAATGATTTGGGTCATAAAAAAAGCTTTTATTATATAAAAAGAGTTTTGAGAAGCAGCGACTTCAACAACGTTCTACTTCTTTAAAGAAACCAAGGTTCTTCTTATCAAAACAGATGAATGTCTCATTACGTACAAATGTGTCCAGCAAATAGGACATGAGGACAGGGGCTGATTACAGGGATGAACATTTGTCTGTAGCTTTGTCCTGTTTGCTTAATTAACCTGCCGCTATCTCTCTGGACGAGGGGACACGAGGGGACATGAGGGGACACGAGGGGACATGAGGGGACACGAGGGGACATGAGGGGACACGAGGGGACATGAGGGGACACGAGCAGCAGAACGACTCCTCACACCTGTCACCCCACACTCGATGCAATTAAAAGTTAATAGACAAAAGCATGAAAAGTTCACTTTCACCGTTTCGTCTCGTTTTTCTCACCAGAGGGTTTGTTTACAGAACCCTTTGAAGTCCCCCCCCCCGACAACGTGATGCAGGTCGACAACATTGCAGACGAGCAGCCGCAGCCCCACAGAGGTGAATTCAGAAAATATTCATTTCTAATAGGATGTTCCCCTCCGTTCACTATCTGTGGAATTGTATTAATACACAGGGCTGAGAGCGGCGTGCGTCCGGGGAGGGGCCGGCCGCCCGGCGCCACAGAAACCATTGAGAGCATTAGAGAGGAACCGAGTGCACATCAAATCAATTCCAGCAGGCGGAGGGAAGCTGGCCTGGGTCGAGGACTTGGTGACACATGCCTCTCTAACGGGGATTACTTCCCCGCCCTCTTCCACCTTTTTAATCTGATTTCGTTTTTGGCGCCACGTGAATTACCAGAGATAGGTGTGACGAAAGGCGGATGAGAGAGGGCCACTCTGACTTTTCTGAGGCAACTTTTCAGATCCTTCCTCTGCGCCAGGCGGTGTTGTGTTGAAACACGTGTGACGAGTTAGCATGTGGACACTGGATCTCTGCTGAGCTTCAGGCTAACGCTCCTCTGAGTGAAACCAACGCCGGTTCATTCGTCTGCGTTAAACCTGAATCACTTTCACATGTTGCTCATATCAAACCTCGAATCAGGCTCCTTCACTGTGAACTTAGTTCAACATGCACTAACTCACAGAGGTGGACAGAGGAAAGTCTTCAGTAAGCGTTGGTGAATCATGAAACTCTGGAACAGTGTGATGTCCTGTGAGCGGCAGGAAGTCGAGTCTTTGATTAAGTTTAAAGACTTTTTAAAAACTTCACTTACAGGATAGAAACCATGAAAAATGAACCTTCGATATTGTTTCCATGCAAACGAGCTCACTGACCTCCAGGATGAAAACTGGCAGCTGGGTGAGCTCCTCAGTCACGACGGCCTGATACTCGGTCTGGCTGAAGACGGGCGCCTCGTCATTGTGGTTGACCACCTGCACCACCACCAGCGTCTCGTTCTCCCACTTCCCGTCGGAGGCCACCAGCCGCAGCTCGTAGCGCTGCTCCATCTCGTAGTCCAGCGGCTGAGCCACGTAGATGGTGCCCACCTCGGGCTCCACGTCGAAGGTGCCCATGGCGTTTCCTGAGGTGATCTGGTAACGCAGCTTGGCGTTGGCCCCTAGAAGGAAGAAGAGGAGCGGTCAGCTTGAGCTGAAGCCAGAGGAGGAGGAGGAGGAGGAGGAGGAGGAGGAGGAGCGACATGTTTCTGTGTCATGGAACCAAAATCATGATGCCGCCAATCTACTTGAAGTTAACGCTCAGTATGGTGTGAAGATATGTGGCGCTGGACACACACACACACACACACACACACACACACACACACACACACACACACAGTAATGTTCGGAGCCCAGAGGCAGGTCTGTCTGGGTCCGGCCTGTTCTCTGTTTACCAGCATCCAAGGAGACTTTAGGAGACAAACACCATCTGTGGAGACATGGAGGACCTTCAATATGATGTGTGTGTGTGTGTGTGTGTGTGTGTGTGTGTGTGTGTGTGTGTGTGTGTGTGTGTGTGTGAGAGAGGAAAAGCTTAAGTGCACTGGTCCGTCACAGCATCTGAACACAACCCATCATGACACTTGCAGAGCAGCTGAATGTGTGTGTGTAAATGTGTGTTAGGGGAGTAGCTCCAGAGGTTTTTGCCTCCGGCAGCCTCCCTAATGATCAGTCTGACCATATGGTGTTGCCCTCTTAAAATACACACACACACACACACACACACACACACACACACACACACACACACACACACACACACACACAGGGCTGATTTAATTCGCAGCCTTGCAGGAGGCTCCAAATGAATATTAAGGTCAGATCTCTGCTCCTCGATAGCTGGGCCGGAGGGGAAAGTCGTCCCTGGGCATCGACTGCAGGTCGACACTCTAAAGGACGAAACTGAGAAAGTTTGGTTTTGATTTGAAACCGCGTCAGAACATTTGACATGAGAAGCAGCTTTCTGACTGCACTGCCCATGAATTCTGTGTCATGTGATTAATGTGTGTTACAGCTGACGTGATGCGTTCAGGTGCTTATTTCACTGCAGAACTTTACAGATCAGCAGCGACATTAACTCTTCGTCATTATCATCATCTTCTGTCTGCAGAGGCACATCACTGCACTGTGTGAGCAATCATATAATCACTGTGTGTGTGTGTGTGTGTTCACTAAACCCTGGGGTGACACTGAACTGAAACACAAACTCAGCGGAATAAAAAAAAAAAAAGCCTCTTGATCTCATTACGAGACGCACTTAGTTCTGCAAATTTTCCACTCGGAGGACTGAGCAGGATCCAGAAAACACGACGGGCGACGAGAGCTGCAGCGTCTCTTCAGCTTTAGGGGGATGGAGGGGGGGTGGTGGTGGGGGGGGGGTAATCTAAACCCACACTCCACCTACCCTTCACCCCACCTTTCAGTGTTCCAACAAACACCAAATTAAGATGAAATAAATGTTTTATAGCAAGTGTGCCTGTGTGTGTGTGTCTGTGTGTGTGTGTGTGTGTGTGTGTGTGTGTGTGTGCCTGTGTGTGTGTGTCTGTGTGTGTGTGTGTGTGTGTGTGTGTGTCCTGTAATCATGTTTGCTTGACCTCCACTTTAATGCTGAGAGAAGGTCACCAGTGTTTCAGCACCTGT